TTTTTTTTTTTTATATACTTGTTAAATCATTTATGGAATATATTACAACAGTTGTTTGTCATTGCCCACTGGTAGATGGCTAATAATTTTGAATGGATAATATTCTTTTTCTAGATTTCTAAATTTACAATCATATTTTATAAATATTTGTTTCAACATATCTTTTATAGTTATTGTTTGAAATTTTTTTTGTCTTCCCTGATCTGAGGTTTTCATGTCGACTAATGTATTTGACACTGTGATCTTTTAGTTAATAACCCCACTTCCAACAAAAATAAACACCTATTAAAGAATGGTTATAGATTTATACATTAGAGTTTTTTTTTCTTTCTTAATAATGATTTGGTGGGGTAGGATTGAACCACTCCTCAATTTTTGTGTGTGTGTACTTTCGTTAAAAATGTTTCAGCTGATTCATTCTCCACGCCTTGTCGTGTTCAGTCTATAAGAAAAGAAAAAAATTTTATTTTACAAGGAAATGTATTGGGAGGGGATACATTGTCATTATAGCTGTAAAATTGGTGGTGTAATGGTTAGCAGAACAGAACGGGACATTTGTGAATGGTGTTTGAATTCCAGCTGCAGATACTCTTGGGAAAGATATGAATCTATTTCTTCTTCTCCCATCTATGGATTAAATAGTACAAACTGGGCTCTCTTGATTTGGTTGGCAATCAGTCTAGGACAACTCTGAATCCAAAACCTGAGGGATTGTTTGAGGACCTCCTGGCACACTGTGCACCAGTTCTCTATTTTCAGTTCTTCTGAAACATGTGGATGGTTCTACACAAGCCTTCACCATTATAATCAAATCATATGTGTGGGTAGTCTGGTTGTTCAGTTTTAGGAGCTGAATTGTTGGACCCTCATATGTCAGACAAATCCATCATATATATACACACACATACACCAACTGCATCAGTGCATTTCAGCAACAGTAGGTACATAGATATAACATACTGCCAGGAGATTGTAGTAATTGTTAAGTACCTCCCTATGACCACCAACCTAAAATTATAGAAATATAGATACAAGGAGTTGATGCTATGTGAAAATGAAATCACATTGCAGGGTTGAATGATGTGTGCAATAGGAAGAGATTTGTAACCCTATCTTTCCTTCTTTGATTCTTGAAAGTTTTTTTTTGCGGGGCGGGGGGTGTAGCTTTAAAATTGGCTGAAGTTGCAGTTATAGTAGGTCTCATAAATGTCTTGTAGTTTGAATACCAACAAGATGGATTAGAAAGTTTTTCTCTAAACAAAAGAATAAAAAAAAAAACACAAAGGCAGGCTCCAATACTTTCATATTAAATGATCCTTAGGCTGTGATACTATGGTTGGGACACCCCACATTGTTGAAGAAGAAGGTGTTATCTTATCCCTGTTAAGTGTTTCTGTTTTATGGCCATTGAATGTGATTTTTGAATTGGTACCCACTTGAGGAAAGAGGAAGAAGGGAAGGAGTAAGTAAAGGAAAGCATTTGAGGTCAAGCAACAGCACCCCCTACATTGATTAGTTCTGTAGATAGTCTATATTAAATCATGCTTGGGATCAGAGAGCCAGTTCTATTCTACCCTTAGTTGGGGAGTGGGGAGGGAAACTTGTCTATTGTGTGATTCCAATACCTCTGAGAAGGAGGTGGTAGAAGAGCTGAGCTCTGAGGCCAACATAACAGAAGTTGTTCCAAATGTCACCTACCTACCCACCTGGACAAACAATTAAAGCCCTGAATAAAAAATACCTATTTTATAATATGGGAAACAGGGTTTGTGTTCTTATTTCTTGATGTGGCATTTTTTTTTTTTTTTTATCACTGTTACCTTGTCAACATACAGAAGGCTCTTTCTCCAGCTTTTGCTGCATGCCAATGAGAACGGAAACAATATGGAATGATCCTTGGTTGATCAATAGAAAACTTGAGCAGTATTTTTACAAAACAAAGAATTGGACAAAAATAAATGTAAATCGCTTTTGGTCTGAAATTTTGGTCTAAGTGACTTGTAAGTCATGTCAATTAGAACCAATTAAAGAAAGCTTTCATTTGTTCTCTCCCCTTGCTTGGTAGACTCAAAGTGAAAGGTCTTGTTATGAGTTCATTACATAATAAAAATCACATGCACATGAGGTGATTTATATAAATACAATAAAAACCTTGCGGGGGGGGGGGACAAGACTGTACTCTTTGTCCAAAAGCAAACTGAACAACCCTACCTTGTATGTAGAATAATTCTGACATGCGTCTGATTTCTTCATTCTCTAATGATGCTTATCTGGATTTCATTCCAGAGGTAATGTGAACCTTCCTTTCTTCAGAAATGGTCTGCCATACCAGATTTTCCCACCTCCCTTTTGGCATAACATGATTATAAAGCATAATATACAGAAAGGTGTTCACTTGTCTGAACTAAATTTGGAATGTTAATGACTCTTTTCAAAGTTATAGCCAGTATGATAATGTTGCATTTGCAATGTTTTCTTTCTTTCCAGTTATAAAGCTCACCACATTGATGCACACAATCAATGTAATTCAATATATAGATAATGTCTGCTTGATGGAAAAAGATGCAATGTCAAATGTCAGCTTCATTGTCAGAGGGCTTAAAAGATATTTACGGCATTTGAATGACTTCACAATTTAAGACCCAGTTGGTCGGTGTCATTAGATGAAGTTTCTAATCACTATGAATGGTATTTTCTTCTGAATTGCTTTCATAACATTGTCCTGACATTCAATTGGAATAATGTATCCAGCCTTCATTGCTTTCTAATCTAAGAATATTTACTCTTCTCTACCTATGGAAGTAGTATGAGTGTTAAGTTTTTATCTCTTTAGGTCTGTTTGCTTCAGTTCTTGGTTGGCCACTGGATTGGGTTCAAACTCTTACTCTAACATTATTTTTAACAATTAAGCATTTCAGAGAAAAAAAATTCTTAGGTTGTTAGTTTAACAATTATGACCTAGTCTGTTCTATTCATTTTTCAATTTCTTGTGAAAGTCCTGAATCCACATCATCTCAGCTATGGGTTAAATAACAAGGTAGATTGGGTTCCCTCATCTTAGATTGTAAACAATAAAAAGGAGGATTACTCTGAATTCAAAACTATGGTGAAGGCAATGAGAAACCACTTTACTATCTTTCTAAAGTCATGCCAATTCACAAGTAATAAAAAGGAGCTGGTGGAGATTCAAGATCACTAACGCCATGAAGGGACATCATATTAAAGAAAAAAATATCCTTTTTCATATATCTTATTGAATTCCTTTCTGAAAAAGAAAAATTTATCCGAATTTGCTTGAATATAGTCATGCTATTTTAACATTTTGCATTCAAAAACTTATTAAATCTAAAAGAATAGCTGTCTTAAAATTTATTTTATTTTTTTGCTCCAATCAACTTCAATTTTAATTTTCACTGTTGTCATTAACGTTCACCTAAATTAAATACCATCTATTTATGCCTTTTGGAAGTAATTTTCTATAATTTTAAAATGATTATTTTTCTTATTTCATTTTATTGTTGGTGTTTTTTTTTTAATTGATAAACAATTTTTCTGCAGCATGTGAAATAAATACAAGATTGGTATTGTTCTCATTGATCTATATTACAATTCAATTTGCATATTTTTTTTTTTTTTTTTTTGAAACAGCAAAAAGAGCACACTGTTGCCCAATTAGTTAGAGCCTTTTAACACTAGTGCACTAGTGTTAAAAGGCTGTAATAAAAATTAAAAATATAAAACCATATCCAGTCCAATCAAGACACTTATTTTTTTCAGTCATTTTTAACTCCTGTGTAAATTGTCAAAAAAAAAAAGTTTGAGAGATAAAGTCAAGAGACTCAAGGCAAGAGAATGTGGTTCTACAGAAGGATGCTGAAAATACCAGTCTGAACACATGAGCAATGATGAAGTTTTAGAGGAAATGGAAACAAAAAGGGCACTTACATATAGTGTTTTAACGAGTTGAAATTTCTAGAGTACATAATGAGGAAAAAGGACTTGGAAAATTTGATATTCACAGGACGTAGTGAAGACAAAAAGAGACAGGAAAGCAGTACATAACCTACCTTATGAACTTATGTAAAAAGTTGGTAGAACAAGGATTAGGAGATATATAGCAAAAAGACCACCTTTACTAAGAGCTACAAAGGACATGAAGCTGGGAAAAGCCATGATTGCCTACATCATGAAAGGACACAACACATAGAAGGTTGATTAGTTGTTTCTCCAAATTTTTTTAATGGACAATAAAAGGAATAGGAAGAATTCTTGACCTGTCTGCAGTCAATTCCATCAGTCATACTGGCATAAACAGTGAAAATACTTAATAATAATAATAATTAAGCCTTGTGATAATTAGTATTTCCAAATAAGTATATAAATTCTATAAATAGGATGTGACTTGATATTAAGTGGAGGCTACCAAAGGCAACATTTAACCTGCTTAAACTTGCCCCATAAATATCGGCTTTTAAAGTCTCACTGTCTGTGGTCAGTCTCACTTGTTTGTGGGACTCCTTGTGTTATTTGCGATGATGTCATCATGAGGCATGTTGGGTTGAATATTGAGAGCCAATATTTCCAGGGTGGGTTTAGGTAAATTGAATGCTAAAAGATTAAGTAAGTATATAAAATGACAATATAGAATTTACAGAATTATAAGTGCAAAAAATTCTGTGATCAGTTATTTTGGTGATTTTGTGAGGGTATGAAAAGTTCTTGGCTTGACCAGGAACAGAATTAACTTGAGTCATGAAATGTTCATATTCTTCCACATATTCAACCAGAAGTTCCACACACTTGGCATATCATTTCTCAAGTTTTTCAACCTTTAAAGAGATTCTGATTGGTCCTTGCAATATTCATTTTTGGTTAGGTGTGTTTGTGTTGATAACTTTTCGACACCCTCTCATAAAAAGCACTTATGAATTTATAGACTTTAATGTAAAAATCCCAGCTTGTTGATATTTTTAAAAAAATTTTTATCTTAACTATTTCAGGATGACTACAGTTGCTACCTGTTTGATTGTGGAGAACCAAGTGTATGTGTATTTGCTTGGCATAAGAGTTACATCTCAATGAATTTTGCTCAGAAGATGCACCATAACTATGAGGAACAGCCGCATCAGGCAAGTAAGCATGAAAATGAACTTGCTGACCTTGACAAGCAGAAACCACCGAACCATGCAACTTCCTCTCCTACCACTACCACCACCACAACTGCTGCAACAACCACCACCACCACCACGACTCTTTCTCCAACTACAGTGTCAACAACAATAGCCTCTACCACAACAAAAAGGAAACCAAAGATAGGTAAGTCACAAACTGTTTTATTAATCCTGATAATCAGTCATGTCAATTATTTCAGCTTTAAAAGCATTGAGGAGGAAATGAAAAATAAATGATTTCCTCATACAAAGCTAAACTCATTCATCATAGGCATAAAGCAAGAAAAACAAATTTCCTTTTAGTCAGTAATAAAACTGTATTTGGGTAAAATGGCTCCAGTGTTTAATGCAATGTTTAACCAATATATATTTAGGGTAATTATTTTGCAAATATTCTTAAAGATCTGAATAGAGTTTGTGTCCTGGCATTTTAATAGTTGTTTCCTTGCTGTACATGCTTTTTAACTGAAGCAAAAAAACATTCTTCATTTAAAAAAAAAAAAAACCCAAAAAACCTGTCTTGACAACTTTCTCATGATTGATTATGAAATTCAAAATTTGACAGACATAATCTTTAGTACAAAGAAGCTTGCCTATTTTTAGCAATATTTTCTTGAAAATACTTTTGATTGTTGTTGCTCTTTTTCTCTCTCCTTTCTTTCTTTATTTTCCAGTAATTTTTGGAGGAGAAAAAAAATTACTCTTTCTATCATTATTGTAGTAGAGAATTAAAATTTGCCAGCAATTTGCAAACAAAAGAATCAAAGTAATGACAATCTTGACAGATTTTTTTTACATTTATTTATAGTAAAGAAAGCAAAGTTAGTAATTAGAGAGGCTATCTAATTGTTATGAATTTTCTATTTCTCTGAATATATTCTAGGTATCTCTATGAGATCACTCGAAAATGAGCATAGCATGATAAAAATGGCCTTAAACTTGACAAAAGCAAAATTTTATTGTCAAAATGTTTGTCAGTATTAAGTATTTTTAATTATATTTAAAAAAATTTTCCGTCTTTTTAGAACATTCTAACTTTTGATTAAAAAAAACCTTGTCAGTGGAAGTACTAAAATAACATAGCAAATTTTTGTCCATTTTTTTTTTTTTTATGACATTAATTTTGAAAATCTTGCAAAAATAGAAATAATTGTCAGATTTTAATGAAACTTTCAGAAATGATGGAAATTATTATAAATCTTTTTTTTTTTTTTTTTTTAGTCATGACAAGAAATATATACTTTTTCGATGAAAAATGAATTTTTAAAAGAATTGTTATTTCTTAAATTATTTTATTATTTTTATATTAGAGTTGTTAAATATTGTAAAATTAGTGGAAATGGCAAATCCTTTACTTAATTGTTTTAAGTAGATGTATCCGTACAGATTATAAATTGCACAAGCTTTTTAGAATCAATGAGCCTCCATTTAGAAAAATCTTACTGTTCCTTGTCTTTTGTGTTAAAAAAAAAAAAAAAAATCTGCTGTAATTCAAATGTATGGGAGCCTGGAAGAAACATGATACAACAAAAACATCACGTGATTTGTTTTTGTATATAAATGTTGTTTGGCGCTATTAACAGCCTTTACATTTTTACATTGAGCGAAGCATGAAAATTTTATGAAAGTCTGATACCAGTTGCATTGAATTTCTAAACCTATGTTCTTACATAGTTATGAAAATTAAATAAAATGTGTATATGATTATGTAACTATTAGAAAAAAAAAATTACCTTTTCAATATTGTCACAACTTAAGATTAAAAAAAATTAACAGAAGAGAAAAAATGTATAGCATTTCAACTTATAAGGTTACCTACAATGTATTATAAAATTTATATGATCTTAGTTTTATATCATCTCAATTATGTCATTTTTCCATAAATGAAATATCAAAATTAATAATAAAATGAGTGGAAATCCAAATAATATTGTAAAATGTAATAAATGTACATAAAATACACACTACTGATATTTCATAAGAAAGGTAACCTAATTAATTAGGTACATTTCTTATGAAATTTTATCTCACTCTTCATGTCTTATTTAATTTCTTTTTTATAGTATTATATTTTTCCATAAAGCTTCGTACACTTAAAGGTGAAAGCTAAGAACCAAAAAACAAAAAAAAAAAAAAATGGTTAGAGCACTGATAGTTTTCCTTAAAAATAACAAGTTAAATAAGTTGATTCACTTAAAGCTAAATTATGTCCCTTCTGACCTTCTGTATGATAACATTTCCTCATGTAAGATGTCAGTGTATGGTGAAATCATCACATGTTACTTGTCAGTCAACACCACTGTTAAAACTGGTTTTCTCTTATTTTAAAGTACATTTTTTCAGCGCTGAAAGCAAGTAATGTTTGTTTCAAAATGTATTCAAATAAACTTTAGAATTTCTAATTTACTTAAATTAAATTTTGAAAAAATTTTAATTGATTTTTAAAAGAATTTTAAACGGAGAATTTCACTTTTGTAAGCAAGTGAAAAAAACTGCTGATGATTGATTTTCTGTTAAATTTGATGATTAAAAAAAAAACAAGATATTTAATGAAAATTTTGGACATTCTAGGAATGATTAAAAAATGTAAAAAATATTCAAAAAAATACTTTGATCTTTCCTCTTGATAATAACAAACATTTAGGCAGTAAAAAATTATTTTCATCATGTTTAAGGACTTTTTTATTCATGGTATGCTATTTTTTTATTGATCTCATGGAGATACCTAATATATTCAGTTATCCATTTTTTTTTTTATAAATGAAGTAAAAAAAAGACTTTGACAGTTTAAAATTGGTTTCAGCTAAGGTAGTGATAAGTTTCAGAAAAATAAAAGCTAAATAGGTTGTAGGATAAGGAAATTCTTTTGAATTTAGGTCTCTTGGCAGACTGCATAAATGATTCTAATCCTGTTAAAGAGTAGATGGATTGTTTGGTGAATGTTCTCATGGATAAGTTCACGATTTTTTAATTTTTTTTATTTTATTTTTTTGACATTTTGCTGATGATTGGCTGTTCTGAATACTTATCCTCTTGAACTTGATTAGCCTTGAAACGTGTGTGGCACTTCAAAACCTGTTTATCCTATAGAGTGTTTACCAAACATACTTCTAGAGTTTCATTTGCAGATTTGCTGAGCTTCATGCAAAATTTGATGTAGGCATGTTGCTCAGATTTGATTGTAAAAATTGCAGAACTGTTCCAACACAATGTTACAAAACCTTGTGTAATAATTGTATACAGGTAGATAGCATAAAGCCTATTGGCCGATTAACTCGGTTGGCTGGGTACCAATGAACATTAACTACACACATTTGTGTCTGATGAAACCATCATAACACATATAGTCTGGGAACTCCATAAAAATCTGAGACATTTGGAGATATTTTGTTTTTTTCCCCTCTTCTCAGTCATAAGGGTGAGGTGCCCCATTTGCAAGAATCTCTCACTCACAGTTAGACAGAAAGCCTTCTTTGTGAGCCCTTCCAAACCCACCAGTTAATAAGGGTTTACAAGCCTTCCCACTCCTAATTAATAAAGATGTCTTCCTTGTTTAATTATATACAGGCTCTCTAATATTATATCAAGTATAGTTTGTAAAATAGTAAGGATTTTGTACAGTACTAAAATAACTGTTTTATTAGTGTTTATTTTTTTCACATATTTCATTGTTTGTATATGATTAAATAGAATTTAATAATATTAAGAATTATTTTGATCCAACAAATGCCAAATTATTGATCTTAGTTATTGATAAATTTGAATAGCACAGAGGCATTTGCACTATGTTTTGTACATATTAGATGTTAAAATAGCTTAATTTTTTTTGTGGTCAGTTGTGTCAATGTGCGAATAAGTCTGTTTTGTACACCCAACTTTTTGGCATGTCTTAGATATAAAATAAATACACAATTCTGTTTTAGGTACCACTTCTGTCTGACACTGGTTACCCTTTATTTATTCTGATTCATTCTCAGTCAACTTAAAAAGAAAAATCCTGCAAAATTGAATGCATTCTTTGAATTTTGTTTAACTACTGTCCACAACTAATCATCCCACTTGAGGAATTGTCAACATTAAAACAGTCTTTCTTTGTATTTGCCTCCTTGTTTTCTCTCTTTTTCTTTCCTTGTTTTTATTATATAGAAAAGAAACATTCTCTAGAGATTTTATCTATTTCATCTACATAGCTTTTATTTATACTTGCAATTAAATTTAGGTTCATATCCTGATTGTAAAAGCAAATAAAAATGACCTTTTTGAAATCCACTTTTTTTCCTTCTTCCTTTTTTCCTTCTTCCTTTTTTTCTTTTTCCTTTTATCCTTTTTTCTTTTTCCTTTTATCCTTTTTTCTTTTTCCTTTTTTCTTTTTCTACTTTTTTCTTTCTTCTTTTTCTACTTTTTCTTTCTTCTTTTCTTCTTTTTCTTTTTTCTTTTTTCTTTTTTTTTCTTTCTTCTTTTCTACTTTTTCTTTCTTCTTTTTCTACTTTTTTCTTCTTTTTTCTACTTTTTCTTTCTTCTTTTCTACTTTTCTTTCTTCTTTTCTACTTTTTCTTTCTTCTTTTCTACTTTTTTCTTTCTTTCTTTTTTTTTTCTTTTCTTCTTTTCTCTTTTTCTTTCTTCTTTTTTTTTTTCTTTTTCTTTCTTCTTTTTCTACTTTTTTCTTTCTTCTTTTTCTACTTTTTTCTTTCTTCTTTTTCTACTTTTTTCTTTCTTCTTTTTCTACTTTTTTCTTTCTTCTTTTTCTACTTTTTTCTTTCTTCTTTTTCTACTTTTTTCTTCTTTTTCTACTTTTTCTTCTTTTTTCTACTTTTTCTTCTTTTTTTTTTTCTTTCTTTTTTTACTTTTTTCTTTTCTTCTTTTTTCTTTTCTTTCTTCTTTTTTCTTTTTTTTTTTCTTTTTTTCTTTTTCTTTTGTCTGTTTCTTTCTTTTTTTTTTTTCTTCTTTTCTTTCTACTTTTTTTCTTTCTCTTTTCTTTTTTTTTTCTTTCTTTTTTCTTTCTACTTTTCTTTCTTTTTTTTTCTTTCTTTTTTTCTTTTCTACTTTTTCTTTCTTTTTTTCTTTCTACTTTTCTTTTCTACTTTTTCTTTCTCTTTCTTTCTTTTTCTTTCTACTTTTTTCTTTCTACTTTTTTCTTTCTACTTTTTTCTTTCTACTTTTTTCTTTCTACTTTTTTCTTTCTACTTTTTTCTTTCTACTTTTTTCTTTCTACTTTTTTCTTTCTACTTTTTTTTCTCTTTTTCTTTCTACTTTTTCTTTCTTTTTTCTTTCTACTTTTTTCTTTCTACTTTTCTTTCTCTTTTTCTTTCTACTTTTTCTTTCTTTTTTTTCTACTTTTTTCTTTCTACTTTTCTTTCTACTTTTTCTTTCTTTTTTTCTTTCTACTTTTTCTTTCTACTTTTTCTTTCTACTTTTTTCTTTCTTTTTTCTTTCTACTTTTTCTTTCTACTTTTTCTTTCTTTTTTTTTTTTTTTCTTTTTCTTTCTTTCTTTTTTCTTTTTTTTCTTTTTCTTTTTCTTTTTTTTTCTTTCTTTTTTCTCTTTCTTTTTTTTTCTTTTCTTTTTCTTTCCACTTTTTCTTTCTTTCTTTTTCTTTCTTTCTTTTTTCTCTTTCTTTCTTTTTCTTTCTTTTTTTCCTCTTTTTCTTTCTTTTTTTTTTTTCTTTTTTTCTTTCTTTCTTTTTACTTTCTTTTTTTCTTTTTTTTTTTCTTTTTTTTTCTTTCTTTTTTTCTTTCTTTTTTTTTCTTTCTTTTTCTTTTCTTTTTTTTTTCTTTCTTTTTCTTTTTTTTCTTTTTTTTTCTTTCTTTTCTTTTTCTTTCTTTTTTTTTTTTTTTCTTTTTTCTTTCTTTTTTCTTTTCTTTTTCTTTTTTTTTTTCTTTCTTTTCTTTTCTTTTTTTTTTTTTTCTTTTTTTCTTTCTTTTTTTTTCTTTTTTTTCTTTCTTTTTTTTCTTTCTCTTTTTCTTTTTCTTTCTTTTTTTATTTTTCTTTCTCTTTTTATATTTTTCTTTCTTGTGTGTGTGATAAATCCTGACCAAATTAATAACTAGAAGAAGCTATCGAGTATTTTTGCAATCAATCCTCTGCTCTTGTAAATAGTTGTTATATACTTTAATGATTACTAGTAGAGTGTGTAATTACACGGATTTATTAAAACATTTTTAATGCTGCATTATGTACTTTTCAACCTATGACCATTCCCAGATGGCTATAACGAAAGTGACATAATCTCTCTTAAAAATACAGAAGTGTTCTCAACAGATCGTTAATTCATGAAACCAGATTTAACTCCTTTCTAAAAACAGATGCCTTTATCTAAGTCGGGGGTTGGTGGCTAGAGGGTGCAGTGGAAGCCCCCCCCCCATTTCTGAGAAAATATTTTTTGTTGCAAAGTAGATAAGGTAAGCTAATACAGGGTAGTGCAGAATAAGTGAACTTAAGTCAACATTAACCCCTCGCCTTTACCGAAGAGTCTTGCATTATTAGCAGTAATAGTCACTGTTTACAAACTCACACTTCCTTCCCAGAGAGCTTAACCAAAATAAATTTTTCAGGAGCATATATATTGTCATCCACAGACTGGCTGTTTCTCTGTATCACAGCTCATCACTGTGGCTAGACATCCAGTTGCCTCTAGCTAGGATCATAACTTGGCTGAATTGGCATCATTCTGAGATTCTACTCCTAAGCTGTTGGCACATGGCAAGGATGAAGGTGAATTTAAGCATATTTATTTTTAAATAAACACACAGTAACTGAGAGAACTCGATTTGCTTTCCCAAAGAGTCTTGAATTATCAGCGGTAATAGTCATTGTTTACAAACTAACACTAACTAACACTTCCTCCCTGGAGAGCTCAACTGAAATAAATTTTTCAGGAGCATATATATATATATATATATATATATATATAAATAACACTCTTTACTCATTTCTATAACCTAATATATATATGATCATGGAATTTTGAATTGAGATTTTTACTGAGACCACACACTCTTTAACTGAAAATACAAGATCCACCCCTGAATGACCCCACTCCAATGTTACTCTTTTTATCTCTCTATATCCTTCTTTCTTACTGTCTCCCACTCAGTATCTGTGATACCAAGCGTGACACACCTTAGACATAAGTACAAGCTTAATATATAGAAGCTAATTCATTTTAAGTAGCAACAGTTGATGTTCATTGTCCTTGGGATATACAAGGGAGTGCTGAAAAGTTCTCAGCTCAACCCAATTTCCAAAATCTGTCCAGATCTCATCAGAACTGGAATGGCTTCTTAGCTGAGCTGAGAATTTTTCAGCAATCCCTTGGTGAGTTTCTAAAGGAATCACTTCTGTGAAGATTAAGCTTGCTTTTAACTATTAGATTTTAAGAATTGCAAAATAAATGAGGCTTTATTTCTTCTTTGATTGTATACTTTTATTCTTGTTTTTGTTATTATTTTGAGTTTTGTATTATGTTGTATCATCAAAATAAAACTAGTGATATGTTTGTATATACCAGTTTGAAAATTGACAAATTTGAAAATAATCCCCTTAACAACCCTCTTTCCCACAGACGCAACATTGCAAGCTAACCTGTCACTATTCTATGGTAAATGTTCAGATGAGCTTCACTCTATAGTCCCACCAGTTCAGACTTTTACGGCTTGGTCTTGCCATGCTATATCCATGGAGTCTGTAAGGAAGAAGTTTCACCTGGTTCCTCCACTCCCCCCATGCCTGAGAGCTACTACATTGTGAAACAAACCCCTATGTGGACAATTCCCTGAACACTACAATCTTAACCTCTTAAAATCAAGGGTCAATTGTAATCTATCCTCATAATATTCACTTCCATGTACCTCCTTAAATTCATATTGCATAACTCATTTGGTAACCCTCTGCCATGAGTGGCTCTAGAGTCTTGTATTTGAACTTTAGTATTAGAAAAAAAGTAAAGCATTTATTTGATACTAGCAAGCTAAACTATTCAGATATTGTTTTAAAATAAATGCCTTTTAAATTTCTTTTTTTTTTCCAGATCAATAAAGAAATTATTTTATTGCTAAAAGTATTTTCTTGATTTATAACTTGGACTATTAGTCTATATTACAATAAATCTAATACTGCCTTTTTGTTTAACTTTTTTTCTTCTTCTTTCCAGTGTCCTTGAATGATGTATGTACCTTGAATGACAAGTGTGAAGATAGACATGCAGAATGCGTACAGGAGAAATGCACCTGCCAGTCCGGATATTATATCAAATATGGAATTTGCAGTAAGTTCTTGTTTTACTAAAAACCTATAACTGTCATCTGCAATAGTCATGTTGGTGGGAATCTTTCAGTTTATAAAATAAACATGCCAGTTTTAATAACTGTTCCACCAAGAATTTTATTCCAAGTTTAATAAACTAAAAGAAAATAATGTTTCTATGGAGAAAATTAATTGAAAAATAATGATAGTTCCTTACCAAATAAGCAGCATCCAAGGAAGGAAAATTAAAGGCAATAATTTAATCATGCCTGCACTTGGGTTTGAATCAGAATTATTTATATGCAGACAATTGTCCTCATTGTTATTATCACAACATTTTGGCTGTTGTGCCCCCTGCCTTCATCAGGGTCTTGTTGATCCAGATAACTTTCAGGGAATTTTGAACTGGACCCTTTATTTAATCTACAAGTCTAGATTGTTCTGGTTCTGCTGACCATATCTAGGGATATCTTATATAGTTCTTATTTAGTACTATTCAATTATTACTCGGCCTATTTTTCACTGAGTACCAAATATGCATTACCAAGTCCAGGGATTGAGCTCAGTATGTTACCATATTCAAGAACCAATATTTGAATTCCCAAAGAGTTCAGTTCAAAATTCCCTGAAGGTTACCCAGCTGTCGAAATGTTGTGATAACAACAAAGATGAGGCCAATAGTGTGCATGGAAAATTCAGACAGAAGATCACTAATGTTGACATTTCATTTCTTCCTCAATCACAGCATTTATTCTTGGGTCACAGTTTTATTAACAAAATTGCCAAGACAGTATTTATCTTAAAAGCTTTTTTATTTCATTATTATTATTGAAGATGTGCAACATAAGACTTACACAAAATCAGTTCTTTGGGATTTTTTTTTTTCTTGAACTAAATGCTCATCTAATACAAGGCCCAAGAGCCACTCAAGGCAAAGGGTTACTAAATGAGGTTATTGTATGAAGAGGAGGAAGTAAGTGCAGATTGTGAGGATATATATAATAGGTAATGGTTGACCTAAAATATGAAGAGGTTAAGATTGTAATGTTTGGAGAGGCATCCTTGTGGCTCTTGGCAAGAAGATGCCCAAATACAACTTCCTTCTTACCAATAAAATATGATGGGAAGGATGATTGGCCCTGTGTATATGAGATCTTGTTCAATTGAAGATTTGTCAAATATTAAGATAAGTTTTTTTTTTTTTTTTTTTTTTTTTGTTAATAGTGCTGATGCATATTTCTTCCCTGTTGGTATTCAGATTTTGGATATTTATACTTTGGAACAGTGACTTCTCATACTGTTCTCTTTTTGAGCTAAGTATTTGTTTTGCACTGGCTGACTTTTATTGTTTCCTCTGTTGAATGTTTGTTCTCATTATGAAACCTGCTTCTCCATTTTACTTATCTTTATCAGATGGTGTAAAGAAATTCTTTCTTCTATTTCTATACCAAACTCTCTCTTTCATGCAAAAGACATTAGAGTAAGAAGTCAAGTACGTTTTTATTGACCATTATACTTTTGTTATTCTGGCCTTATTTGCTAAAAAGGGCTTCATCTCATGTTGAAACATTGGTTTTTGCATGAAAAAATGTTAAGCAACATTGAGCCTGGTCAGTACCTAATTAAGTGATTTCTTGAGAATACCAGGTGCTGTAAGCTTGGATATGTGGGTGGGGTAATGGATAACGACTCTGAATTAGAAATCTGTGAGCTGAGTTCCAATTCCAGTTGGGTTCCTTATATTCAATTATATGCAAATACTTTTAGAAAAGGTATGAATTCACCTTTTTTTCCACCAGCTATTCTCCCAAAAATTCTTACAATCTAAAAATATTTTCTGCTTTTAAATAAACTGAAAAGTTGATAAGCCTTAAAAAAATAAATCCATCAATTCATCAATAAATATTTGTTAAATAAAAAAAAATCTTGATTTTTTTTTTTTTTTTTTTTTTTTTTTTTTTTTACATTCTGATTTAATGCAAAATATTGATCACATGTCCCATAACCCATTAGGGACATTATATGTACCACAGTCAGAGCAGCAGTGGTTGTTTCAGGCACAATAACTTGACAGTCCATCTCTCTTCAGGCTGGTTTTTAATTCAGTGTTGTCCTTCTCTTATACTTAGTTGCTCTACCAAGGCTAATGAACCCAGTCTATCCTATTACTGACAAGGGTTTGAATTCAGTTTTCTTTCTCCTAGACTGGCTACCACCTAAAACAAGAGCCCAGTCTGCCACAAAGAAAAAAGATGGATTCATGGCTTTATCTAGAGCATTAGTACAAAATGAATGAAACCGGTTCGTTAAGAATTTGAACTCCTTACACCTGTTCCACTTTACATGTGGAAAACTGTTATACTACCCACACACTCACCTTTGTTAACTGCAGAAGTTTGTCATTGCAGTTCTCTGGCTTAACTGCAAATGGTGGTAATTTCCATCAGTCTCATACACTGCTATGACAAAAATATCCATTTTGTTGTGCATCATGGAAAGTTGGGTCTTTATGTGAATCAGAATATCAAATAGACATTTGCTTCCTCTAACCCATCAGTGCCCAGAAGCACAAGAGGGTAATCCTTCCACAAATTGCAACACTTGGCAAACTTTACTCTTCCAAAAGAAGGAAGACCGTTTGTTTGATGCTGCATTTGTGTGGCTAAAAGAAAATGAAATGTCACAGATGTGTAAAGACTTTAATGTTGGATTATGAATCATATTTCTTTGAAATTAAAGTTTCTACTTCATTTAGACAAATAGTAACTGTCCTACTCCTGCCACAGTTAATGAATGCAATCAAGTAAACATTTTTTTTGTCTAAAAAAATTATCTTGTTCCTCATGCATTTGTCTTTTTGAGTGTCAAAAAGTTAGAAAAGTGTATTTGTGTTCACGTTCTATCCCAAACTCTCACCAAAAATAGACAATCCTAAAGACAGTGTCATTCTGCTTTTAGGACGCCAGTGTGACAAACACCATTTTGAATGTGACAAGAAGAACTCCCTCAAGGAAGGGTTGGATTGCATCGAGTTACAACATGTCTGTGATGGCATCCCTCAATGTGCTGATAGTTCTGATGAAGAAGGCTGTTCACCTGATGGTAAGTTGCTTTTTACTTCTTGGAGCTGCTTTAAGTCAACTAAATTTGATTTTTTTTTTATTCATGGATAAGTCTCCATTTCCATAGGTGAATGCTGTAGGCTTGTAACAATTTTGGCAGTTCTTGCTATTATCTTATAATTTAATATGACTGCAGCTTAGCGTTAAGGACATTTTTCATTTTCAGCATGCTATAGAATTTGTTTGTAATTTGTTGTAGATTATAATCAATCATTAATTCAATTATATCAGGTGATTGCAAATGAGAGTAATTAAAGTGAAATTCATTTTCCTGAGAATCAGTCAATTTTTTTTTTTTCTTTATTTCGGCATTAACAGAAATGTTAGCGGTTACTGAACATAGAATGATTATTTTAGATGATAATATTTGTGGATGAAATTGTTAATAGATAACAAGGAAAAAATTGAGAAAAGTTCATTCATTTGCATTGATCTTTTAATAGGGCTTCCTTTATAATTGTCTGCTTATTTTGTCATTGACAAATTTTAAATTCTATTAAAATACATTAGATATCTAAAAACAGTCTGCAAGTAGAATTTTCATGAAAAATAGATAAGATTTTGGTTCCAAAATCTTATCCGATTTAAAAAAAAAATAAAAATTCTAAGCAAAATTTATTTTCTCATATATCATACATACATACACACACACAAGATGGTGATCTTAAGGTAACAATCTATTTTATAAAATAAGATGAAATTACATATTCAGGACATCATTTTTATTTTATTTTACCAGGTTTATCTTACTATGTAGTTTTGATCCATAAATGCTCTTAGAAACTTATAAAATACAAGGTAATTAAATATAGTCACAATTTTAGAATAAAAAGGTTTGATATTTTCTGGGAGTCAATAATATAAGTAAATAATTGGTAAAGTTCAAATCTTACTTGTTTAAGTGACTTTTTATTTTCTAAATGATATAACTGTGGATAAATTTATTTTCTAAGATTTTTCTTTTTTTTAAGATTTTATATATATTTTATAATAGTGAAATCATATATTTAAAAAATTGAACATTTTAATTGCTTCTGGATGTTTAAATGTTGTTACATTCTGAACCAACTCTGGCATAGTCCAAATTTAACTTCTTTTTTTTTCTTTTTTTTTTTTTTTTTAAATCTATGATTAGTATATATTGTTTAGAACAGTGGTTGGCAACCTTTTGGAGAGCCAGACAGTTATGCAGTGTCCCAGAGAAGGCCCATAATATCAAATGTACTATATTAAATTATCTTGACTGCTCCATCCAGAAGACTGCTTTGGTCTGAAAAAAAACAACAAAGTTAATGTTATATTATTTAAACAAGGTTCCTCATTTTAGTGTAGGAATAACAAGATAACAACAGTATCAACAAAAAAATACAAATTCCTTACTACAAATGAAATACAATTAGAAATGGCAAATTATTTAATGAGACACTTGTTTCTGCTTATTGTTCGATAACTTCTCTGCATCAGGGGAAATATTTGTCGATGACATGAGCAAAAGATCATCTTAAACAACTTTTTACTATATTTCATTTTCGAAAAAATTTTTTTCACCAGCATATGTACTTCTATCATTTTAGCATTATTGATAAGGCTTTTATATTTCCCACTTGGCAAAACATAGTTCTTGTAGAAGTCAGCAGTGGATCCAGAATTAAATTCTGATTTCAAAAATTTGTCGCATTGTCAATTAACTCTGACATTTTTCTGCCGCCTGCTCTACAAATTAATTAGATAATTAGTGTCTAGGTGTTAAGTTGGCGGGCTGGACAAAAATCCTTATTGGGCTAGATGTGGCCCAGGGGGCCGAGGGTTGCTGACCCCCTGGTTTAGATTATAAATAAATTTAGTAACAATTAAAGATTTTATCAGATCCTTTGACCCCCATCCCCAATGTGTGGTGTTCTGTGAAACTAGTTGATCAAAAGATAAGTCAATTGAATATTTATTAATTCATTGACTATTTTTGCTATTGTTCTCTATCTCTAGATTTAAAAATTTAAACCCCAATGTGTATTTACAATGTGTAATAATCTATTTGCAAGAAACTAAATAAAATAGTAATAACCCTACCCCACAATTCTTAAATGTGGTAGAAAACAATGTGAGATATCAATAGAATAAAACACTCATTCATTCAACCACTCACTCACAGCGGCAAATCCAAAAATCACACCTGTAATATGAAAGGTGTCCCGCATCCACCAGAGAACTGTCATCTCTGGTCACCTGATGGGGGAGGGGAAATTAAACTATGGTGGGAGCAGAAATAAAAGGGACCAAATAAGCACACATACCCTAGCTAAGTTAACACTGAACAATTATCATGAAAATATTTATAGAAAAGACAAAGTGAGAGAAAGTGTCTGGCAGACAGGTGTGCTTGGAAACGAGTAACCAGACACACACACACACACACACACACACACGCACACACAGAGAAAATTGTATGACAAAGACTAAAAATATTAGTTTTGACATGTTTTGTCCTTCAGGACTTCATCGAACTAAATAAACTTTTTTCACTTTGTCTTACAATTTCTCCAATATTATTCTTGATATATAAAAATATATATCGTTATCTCTCATTCATTCATATATATATATATATATATATGTGTGTGTGTGTGTGTTAAACTTGTGCGTGAATCAAAATAAATTCTGATGATTATTCATTTAGTTAGGTTTTGGGTGATAGGAACCTTTCAGCACTCGGTTATATTATAATAATACATTGATACAGTTGTAGGTTGACTGCAGTTGAGATTAGTTATTGTGAACTCCATGATCTTGTTGCTGGCTGAATAGTATTCACTGCACCAAGGTTCTTGAATTCACAGTTGTTCTTCTCCTAGACTGGTTGCCACCTAAGGCTAATGAGTCAAGTCTGCTTTACTATTTAACCCATAATTGTGGTGAGAAGAGAGATGGATTCATATCCCTTTCCCAAGAGCATTGGCATCAAAGTGACTGTAATCTTGAACTTAACCAGAATTCCAACTTGACTCACCAATTTGTTCCGAGCCGATACCCCCCTCCCACACACACAGATTTGTAGAGAATTATTTCTGCCTTTTTATATATTGGCTGATCAGTGTGAGTTTTGTTTATAAATTGCAAACATTGACCTTATAAGTTAGACACTTGATTTGTAGATTTTCTCAAGGCATAGTTGCTCAAGACAACCTCCACCCATTTATACTATAAATATGACAGCAAAATATTTGCTTAGCAAATATATAATTAAAATGTATGAACACAGACTAGCAAGGAAAAGAAATTGTTAAAATAGTGACTTTTGCCCTTTTAATTTCAGTTAACTTTTTATTGTAACACCAAAGAATCAAAGCTTGTTGCAGTTTTAAGCATTTCATTTTTAGAAAAAGAATATTCTGTTATTTTCATTTCTCTTCTCTGACAATAGATTACTTCTGGGACCTATAATGTGTTATCATTCAAAAGATAGGTAACTTATTAACTCATAGTGACTTAAAAAAAAAAAAATGAAAACCCTCATACATCCAAACAGACGGCAATTCATGCAGTACTGACCTTCAGAAAATCTAAAAATGGAAATGTTACTCTGAACAGGAAGATATCAACTGGCTTAATAGCTGCCTGGGATGAAAATTACTCCATCCTGTCTGCCATCATTTGAGTTAACTTAATTCCTATTACCAGAAATGAAGCTTTATGCAAAATATTAAGTCTGTTTTTAATTCATCTCAACTAGAAATGATGCTCACAGTTAAAATATTTTTTTATTTTATTTTTTATGAACCATCTTATCAAAATTAAATGAATATAACCAAACCATTAGAAATAAATTTGGATATTTTTGATTTTCTTAATTTTAACCATAAGTCGAATTTTGAAGAATGCTAAAAAATTAAATTTAATTACTTATAAATTTTGAAAGTGTTTTATTTGTTCATTTTTGTTTTATTTTTATTTCATTTTTTTATTTTACTTTTTCATTTTACTTTTGGATTACTACAAGAATACTTGCATATACAAAAAAAAAAAACTTTGTCACATGGTTATTTCATTAAAATAAACATAAAAATTTAAAGAATGTTAAATTTACTTTCCATTATTTTAAATGAGTTTAAAGCCTCAGTATTAATGGAAAAAGAAAATAAGTAAATAGAAGTGATTCCTAGAAATAATTACAAATATTTAAAAAAAAAAAAAAAATTAGATTTTACTTGTATTTCAGCATCAGAATGCTGGTGTATTGGTATGTTGCTTGTCTATTTAACTCCAAGTCTGAAATTCAAATTAGAGCAAAGTTTACTTAACTTTTACGTTTAGTGTAACAATACAAATTAAAACAGTTTTTCAGAGCTCACACCTATTGAAAATTCCTGTCTTTTGTGCACTCCTTGAACTTAAGGTTAAAAATGTAAATTAAAACCTAAAATTGGTAAATTTAATATTAAAAAAAGTGTAAAAATATTTATATGTGAAAATGAAGTCTGTATCAAAATATTACGAATAAAACTATGTGGCTAGCTGCTGCTGCTTTTTCTCAATTTTGAAATGCGACTTATATTCAGAATTTTTTATTTTCATGATGCCTGATAAAAGACCTCTTTGTTGATTTGGGACATGAAGACTTAAAATATAAAAATTTCTGCATCAACAATTAAGTTTAAAAAGAAAAAGATTGTTTTATGCACTAGTTATACCTATTGAAGTAATATTGACTGAACTCTGTCAAGTTTAACAGATATAATGGCTATTGTTACTTCTGCACAAGCAGTTAGGTAGTGATGGGAAATTGGTTTGCTCAAGTGGTCATTCAAATCAACCCTAACAAACACACACACACACACTTCTGTCAGCCATCATGGTATGAGAGGGAAGACATTTTTTTTCATATCTGGTAATGCAACAGTGCAGGGGAAAATGAATATTCATTCATTCTTAAGATAATTACTAAGAAGTGAATGTGACCAACCTCAGCTGGAATTTGAACTCATT